CTGAGGAGATCTATAGAGAGAGCTCCAGAGTGTATTTTAGCCTTTAAGTTCATGCTTGGTGTTCTCGGTACATGATGAAATTTATCATGTGATGGCCATCATTTTATTGCCAATGCCTGCCTAGCTTTATTAATACCTGTACCAAAATACTAATCTAGTTTTAAGAACTGGAATTAGATGCAGACATTGGTATTCCCTGGACTGCAGTTTACTCACCATGATTCAGGAACAGTACCCTCATTCTGTTCTTATACAATTCCGTATACGCTCAAATCCCTGCTCTCTCTCTCCCATGCTGTTTGAATAATAGTTTAATCGATGATACTTCGATACCTCACTCTAAAAACTGGGGCCTTCGATCAGCATACATCGTTTATTGCAGTCAGATTTTAAAATATCAGGTAAGATTCGAACCCACACATACAGCTAGTAATTGGGTACAGTATGAGTAACACCTTTTGGGTCTGCTAGTTCCCACAATTGGTTCATACTTGTTCCCACACTCATTGTCCAACGGGGGTGACCTTATTCATCCAACTTTTGTGTATTGAGCATTTTCATTAGGAAAATCCCACCATTTGATCAGTATAAGGTTCGAACTGGACTTCGTCAAGCAATCCGTTTCTGTACTGTCTGCTAAGACGATGGCTGATCTCAGTTCGTCATTTGACTTGATTTAGGAATTAAGCTTTCCACTACATCTGCTTTCTGGCCAACGAGATTTCATCATGGGATCGGGGAAGTCTAGGTATTTCAAAGGTGAATTCGTCGTATATATATATCAAATGAAGCGTGAACTAAAAAGCTAAGAAGCAATGGGCAGCTGTTTCGACCTGGTTGGGTCACATCAGCATTGCGAATCCATCGACCCAACTGGGGATCGAACCCAGGACCTCATGAGCAGAGTCTGTGGCCCGTAACAAGCTCACAAAAATGAGTTGTGCTATATCGTGTAAATGGAAAATGAGAAACGATGTAGCCTGCTGCCCGATGACCGAGTGGGTAGCATACCTGCCTATGAGGTCCCGGGTTCGATCCCCATTTGGGTCGATGGATCCCCACTGCAAATGAGACCCAGCCAGGTCGAAACAGCTGTCCAGTGCTTCCTAGCTTTTCAGTTCACGCTTCATTTGCTATATACATTACGAATTAGCCTTTGAAATTGAATCAAATCCTCCAATACCTACTGGAAATATTCAGCATTATTTGGCGATCTCTTCGCCCAGCATCCGTCAATCAGCTTGCTTTGGATCTTCTGAGCACAGGTGGATCTACCCCTCACCGCCAAATTTCTACCTGGGTCGGACATGAGTCATTGGCTCCGGTAAAAATTAAATTAGACACTCACGTCAGCAGACTGTAGTGCAAAGTGAAAGATACAAGCTAACCACCACAGATAAATCGGAATGTGGTCGGAATCAGTGCGATGTATTTGACAGTGTTTCGAATTTTCTCACGACGGAACTGGATGGATACACTGTGAATCCGACGGCTTTTACGTGGCCAGTGCCTTTCCCATGTGTGTGTGCACATGCTTGTCTGATATCCGGTTTCTTCAATTATGTGAAAATCTGCACGTATTCGAAACGCACTAGAATTGTACTTGGTTTCTGGAACAATGCATGCTTCATCGGGTACCGTACAGCTTATTGTTTTCAAAATTGAAGTGCCAGGTGCTGTTGGAGAGTTTTCTGAGCTGTAAGTGTTGTTCGCAGACGTTTCTTATCCAAGCTAGGCAATATCCTCAATGCGACTTCGCGGAAGCGTCAGTTCTCAGTGGGTTCGGGTTTATATAGTTTTGTTTGAGGGTTTCTATTGGCTGTTTGTGCCCCTTTAATTCTCTTGGTCAATAATAACCATTTGCAATGATTTGATTGACTGTTTCGTTGTCACGTTGACCATCCTTTTTTCTCATTGGTAGACCGGCTTTCCTGGATCAACCGCAAACCGGTTTTGAACCGGTTCCAAACTGATTAGAACTGGTTTTGGACCGGTTCTAGCTTAGGCAGCCTCAGGTCACCAGTGTTTCCTTAGATGGTGATAGATGAGTTCCAGTTCTATATGCTTATTTATACTGTCCGTTTTGGAATGCCAGGATTCGATGAATTCCCATATTGACTTTGCGGTTCCTCTTCCGATTATTCTTAGGTTGTCCAGTTTGATGACGTGATTTTCAGCATCCGTGTGGCTTCTCCTCGTGTCAGTTGACCGCCAGTGCGTGTTTGTGCAGCTATGTTTTGAGCTTTCGACTGATTTGTCCCACGTAGCATTTGCCGTAGTTTCGTCACTTTAATTTGTGTATAACGTTTGAGTAATCTTCGTTTGGCAGTTGATCGTTTGGTCTTGATAGGATAGCCCTCACCAAAATTCCTGATGGTTGTAATGATCTGGCCGCCATTTCCGAGACTCCTTGTGTATATGGCAGTGTTGTTCGTTTAATCGTCAGTCACTCTTCTCCTTATGTATCTGAAGCTTCTCCCATGGCCTCGATTGTTTTACTCTCTTTGAGTGTCGTATGTAAGCAGCGTAGCACGAAATTCCGTGGGTATGCGTATGCCGGGTTGCATGTAGTAGTCCAGAGGTAACGGTTTCAACTGTCATCTCAAAGGCTCCCGGAAGACACACGCACATATAGTACACACAAAGATGGCGAAAAAGCCTTAACAAGGTTTTCATCACAGTTAACTCCCGATAAAACAGTCCCCGGTAATGAAATCTCAATGCACAAATCTTGGCGTCTGTGACATTGTGTAGACAGTACGAGGATAATTTTCGTTACGGCCCAACGGAGTGCACATCAAATTGTTTTTAAGTGTCACACACGAGAAGCATTCCTTTGTTTGCTATGCCCGAACGAATTGTTGTTCTATGGTGTTGTGCCAACAAAATACTGCTATGACGATCATCAGCTCTCACTGGGAACCTTTAAAACTTTGCCAAAACGTGCCGATTGGCATCCGCTGTGATCACAGAGTATCTCTATATGTATATGGAGACTGTTTGAACAATCATCGAAGGTATCGTTGTCACACACTGATTGCATACTTCCATTCAGGAGGATGGGGTATAAAAATCATTAAACTAAAGATCGTAATAGATTCCTATCCAATTTGCGTTACCGATACGACAGTAGTTTCCATTTATTCAAGCATTTGCTCACAAATTTTGAGATCTCGCAGGTGGGAGGGCACACCCAAGTGGTCAGTTTGATCACCCTGGAGTTAGCAGTGGTTTGACACGGGTCGGTAACACAATGCTCGGTAGTAATTTCACTGGTGAGCCAGCGAATCGCAGTCACATGTTTTGTCAAAGGGATTGTGGTTTCCCCGCCAAAAAGGGTTTGGTACACTACACCAAGTGACTATGATTTTCGGAATCTTGATAATCCAAATGTATGACTCTGGTTGAGGATAAAAGTACAGCCCGATGTTTGGGGACGTGTCCTTGCGCCGCTCAGTGAACTCAGTAATACCAAGGCTTTATGGCTGCATGCAAAGGCTAAAACCCATAATCAAGTGATGGCACAACCATGAGTGAAGGCTAACTAAGCACGAAGAACCATTGTAGTGCATCAAAGCAAAGGAAAGTACATCCTGACCGGATAAAGTTTAACGAGCGACAAAGAGCACTGTGTGCAGGCGTTTGGTCCTTGTTAATACTCGTGAGCACTAATTTTGTTACCCGGAAGGAACGTGAGCGGCTTATCTTCGGGTTACAGGATTGCCTGACCAGAACGGGAAGCGCCGGGTATTGTTAAGTTACATCCAGTTCGGAGAATTTACAAGAGGCTGCACTTGCCAGATCCCCTGAGAAACTGAAAACCGTGGGGATGGGTTATAACGTAGGATATGGGACACACCGTTCATTTGTCGAGTGTGACCGGAAATGAAGCTAATTGGTGGTCTACGTGAAATAACTGACTGCGCATGTTAAAAGAGAGTGACCACGGTATTGGCACGCCTTTGAATAAGAACATGCCACCAACCTGCGTTTCTGCACACGTGTGGGGAACCAGTTGCGCACTAAGGTCACCGAATTTCATAGATTTTCGATTCGTGTTCCTCCCTAAGAAATCGGGATGATGAAGATGATTCGTGAGTGTCTTATTTGTTCGTTCAGTACAACTA